CACAGATAAAACTCCATCAAAATAGGGTTTATTAGCAAAGGAACACATGGGACAGATTCCCTTCCGGGCAGGGAAAATGTCTTCCTGGGTCTTGAGCTGGGGTCTTTAAAAGGGAGACTTCTGCCTCCTGCAGAAGGCAGGAAGATGTATTTTTTTTTAAAGTTGGGTGGGGGGGAAGTGGGAGTGTGGGACTGTTAAAACCTGCCCTCTTTAGAGATCAAAGGGGAAGCCTGCTGTGTTGGCCAAACAGTGGAAAAAAGTCTGCTTCTCTTGACTTCAAAGACCAAAGTACTTATCAGCTCGGTTCCCTTTTCTCAGGAGCTTGAGAGGTCCTTGAGACCCTGTTGGTGAGGGGGCGGGGCTATCTAAACCTTAACAAAAGGCATATGTCACCATGCTGGGCTCACCAAGCCAGTTTTTATTTTTTAAAATAAAATTAAGCCAGGCATGGTGGTTCCCAACGGTAATCCCAGTTCCTGGAGGCTTCAGCAGGAGGACTGCCAAGGATGTGGAGCCAGCCTGGGCTACATATCAAGTTCCAGACCAGTCTGGCTAAAAAGTGAGACCCCTGTTTCAAAAGCATAAACAAAGAACCAACGAACCAAAAACACAAGTTCACAGTGAGCAGAGAGGTGTAATGACGAAGGACTTTTTAAAAGGCTTTTAGAAGTAAAACTACATGCTCATATATGTAACAGAAAACCTGAGAGTGAGACGCAGTGTAAGAAACTGGGGACACTAGCTCACGGAGGGCGGGCAGCGAGCTGAAAACGCACTGGAAGGGACAGATGTCATCACTGTGTTGCTTTGTCATGTGTTGGAAACTCAAAAATTAAAATCTAAAATCAAGGGAGGGAGATGGATCAGTGTTGTGATGGGTCATGTTTGCTGTGAAGAGCAAAGCCACACAGAAGGCAGGACAGTGCGGACAGGGAAGTACCCAACAGCAGAGGAAGAACGCCACTGCCAAGGGCCACGTGTAAGTGACCATGGAGCCAGGCCCTCACTGCACACGTGTAAGTGACCATGGAGCCAGGCCCTCACTGCACACGCGTGACCATGGAGCCAGGCCCTCACTGCACACGCGTAAGTGACCATGGAGCCAGGCCCTCACTGCACATGCGTAAGTGACCATGGAGCCAGGCCCTCACTGCACATGGAGCACTGCTTCCTCATAGATTCAGGGCCCTCAAACACCTACCTGATTGTTGGTAAAGACCCTGAAGATATGCAGCTCTGCATCTGGAGCAAACCCTTGGCACTCCCTCATGCTGGCAATCACACCTGCCACGAACGTGCCGTGGCCCAGCCCTGCACCACAAGGGCAAGAAGTCTGTGAGTCAGAGGGGAGGACCCACGTTGCAGCACAACACTCAAAACCATCAACCACACACGCGCCTCTAGAAGCCCATCAGCGAGTCTCTGCGGCTCTCCTCAGCCCTACCTGACCGCGCTCCTTCGTGGAAGACTGCACGGCCACTCTTTCTCAGCAAGCACCTCCTTCTCCCCCAACCTCAGCTTCCCACACCATCTGAACTCTTTAGCAAAACATTTGCCCTAACAAAAATGCACAACCTAGGCTCGTCTAAAACTGCCAGGCATCATCTGTGGACTCATCAGCAAGGGGCCAAGCGCCTCGCCCTCACTCTGGGAAGGACCTACCATCATCCAGAGTCCGCTCATTGGTCCAGTTGGTTCTTTCCTTCACGTTCTTGAAATGCGGGTGTTTCTCGCTCAGCCCAGTGTCAAACACAGCAACCCTGACACTAGCACCTTATTCCAAAAAGAGAGCAGATTGTCACCTGGGACACAGGCTTTCTGGAATTCTGCCCACTAAACATGGTCCTTCAAGGACCCACAGAAAACAATGCGTCCTGACTGTGACAGGTCAGGGCAGCTGACCCAGCTGCTTGGGGGCCAGCTGACTGAGCCAAGACTGACCTGTGTAAGGAAGGTAATGTTCTTCTGTTTAAAGCTGTTCACCTATCTATACTCTGTCATATGATCAATACACCAAGACAGCCGCTCAAACTGTCACTTGTCAGGGCTGGAGAGATGGCTCAGTGGTTAAGAGCACTGGCTTCTCTTCCAGAGGACCTGGGTTCAGTTTCTAGCACCCACATGGCAGCCAACAACCATCTGTAACTCCAGATCCAGGAGATCTGATGCCCTCTTTGGGTGTTCGCAGACACTGTACACATGTGATGCACTTACATACATGTAGGCAAAGCACACTCATAAAATAAAAATAATTTAAAATAATAAAATTGGCGCTTGTAAAAATACCTGATGTGCACATCAAACTGGAAATCATTTATTCTGGGGTAAAAACACAGTGCGTTTCTAGAGTTTGAGCATCTGCTTTGTGAAGAAGTTCTTACTCTATGAGGGTAGCCAGGAGGAGGTGATCTTTTACTAAAGCTATGAGTCTACTTAGTGGGGACTGGGGGCTCAGACAGGCAGACAGATAGCTAGTCTCCAACCCTAGAACACAGGCTGACACAGGAAATCAAGGGTAGCCTTCTGGGGGTAAAACACTGCTCACAATGAAGCTGAGGTACAAGTTTGCACACTGGTGCAAACAAGGCTGTTCTGTTCTATCAGAAGAGGAAGGGACAGCATAGGTTTTGAGTTTCTCTTCTGAAGATATGGTCCTTAACAGTTTCCTATTCTGAGACAAACGATCAGCTAGTGTGTTACTCAGTGACTCTATAAAACCAAGTAAATAAAGACTAATTTTCATAAAACTGCCCAAATCCAGGTGTCCCTGTAGGAATGTTACCACTCTCCCTAGGGAAACACCACCTTTTCAGGACTCCCAGGCAGCTCAGGCTGTGAGTTCTGTTGTGCTGGAAAGAAATGTTTTAATATAACCTGCCCTTTGAAACAGTAACAAAGGTAAGATCCATTTGGTGACAGAAAAGTCACAGAAACAGCATTAGTGAAATGGCTCAGCAGGTCCAAATGCTTGCTGTCAAGCCTGACTGAGTTCCGTCCCCAGGACCCACATGAGAGAGAGAAGTAGCTCCTACAACTTGTCCTGACTTCCATAAACACACCATGGCACACTTCACCCCACCCCACATGCACACCCGCGAGCACACACGAAATAAAAAGCGAAAAAAAAAAGAGAGAAAAACAGTCACAGATGCTGGGCTTAAGAGGAGGCGAACACAGAGAACACAGCGAGAGCTCACTGCGTCCAGCTCTATACAAGGCCATGGTATGGGGTAACCCAGAAGACGGCCTCACTGGACTCAGACTGTAGGCGTCCCTGGTCTGGTACACACCTGTATATCCCATCTGCCACAGCACATCCGCTTGCAGTGTCTGGGCGACCTGGCGAGGAATGGCCCTCAGCAATCGTCGACTTGAATGTCTCCCTGTGGCATGCCAGAAACCAGAGCCCAGGGAGAGACTGGCTCTTCGCAGGGGGCGTGACGACTGCCACTTCTGGCTCCACCGGGTTTCATTACAGGGCACGATGGGGTCAGCTGGAGTCAGTGAAGAAAACCATCAGACCAGAGAAGAAAGGCACAGCACCCCACACACAAAGGTGAGGCCGCCCTTCTGCATGCAGTAAGGGTCACCGTCAAGTCCCACGCTATTCCCAAACAATTCTTGGCATTTTCTAACCAAGGGAAGGCAGAGAAAAGACTCACAGTACTTTTAACCCACTGGGTGGTGTGGTAGTGCACCTGTAAGACTGGACCAGGAAAGCTGAGGCAGGAGGATTACGAGTTCAAGCCAAGCTGAGCTACAAAGACTTTGTCTCAAAAAAGAGAAAAGTAAAACTAACTGTGACACTAAAAACAAGGAAACAAACATTCTGACAGCAGCCTGTCCTCACTGAACCAGAAGTGGGAAGGTGAGAAGCGGCCACTGGCCACCGTGAGTGCCAGCACTGCACTTCCCGCCAAACACCCAGGGGACTTCTGACACTGTGTGTTCTCCAAAACTGAACGTTCTACTCCAAGTTCACCTTTCAGAAAACAGAAGAGCCAGAGGAAGGCGAGACCTTGAGGCGACGGGCCACCTTGCTTTTGGTGGCGGCACTGTGCATTTTTGTGAAAATTTGTCAAACTGTATTGTTTTTGATGGTGGTGGTGGTGGGGTCTTTCTGAGACAGGGTCTCCCTGTAGCCCCAGCTGGCCTGGAACTTGATCTCACAGATACCAGCCTGCCTCTGCCTCCTGAGTGCTGGGATTAAAGGCAGTTAAAATCTTAAAATGATTAATTCTAATATCTGCAAATCACTAAATTAAAAAAAAAACAGGGAAGAACTAAAAATAAGTTTCCCTTTTATTTTTCAAAGTCTGTTGTAATGAAGAACCTGTCATGTTTCTGATTATTTATTTATTTATTTATTTGCATTTCATGTGTGTAAGTATTTCACCTAGAAATAAGTGCACTGTGTGTACAACAGCCAAGGAGGCCAGAAAAGGGTATCAGGGCCTGGAACTGTAGTTAGGAATGGGTATTAGCTGCCACATGGGTGCTGGGAATCAAACCCAAGTCCTCTGCAAGAGCAGCCAGTGCTCTTAATGACTGAGCCATCTCTCTAGCCTTCAATTTTTAAAAACTTTATAATTTATCTGTGCATATGGCAGGGCGGGGGGCACAGACAGACACTGGGGGGCACACATATGTACCACAGCATGCATGTGGAGGTCAGAGGACAACTCTAGTTAGTTCTCTCCTCTGACCTTTACATGGGTCCTAGGAGTCAAACTCAGGTCTATCAGTCTTGTTTATGAAGCACCTTTACCCACTGAGCTACAAAGGTAGCCCTTGAATCAGTTTGTATTTGTTTTTAATTATTTTTATTTTATGAGTGTATTGCCTGCATGTTATGTGAGTGCACCCATGTCATGTGCTGCTGCGGAGGTCAGAAGAGGGTTTCAGATTCCCCTGGAACTGGAGTTAAGGACAGTTCGTAGCCGCCATGTGGGTGCTGGGACTCAAACCCAGATCCTTTACAAGAGCAGTCAGTGCTCTTAATCACTGAGCCATCTCTCCAGCCCTCGAATCAGTTTTAAGAACACATCTATAGCAGACACAATGGCCCAGACCTTTAATCCCAGCACTCCAGAGGCAGAAGCAGGTGGAACTCTAGGAGTTCAAGGTCAGTCAGGGCTATACAGTGAGACCGTTTAAATAATGGGGAGTGTGTGTGTAGGGAGACAACATAGCCGGACACGACGAACATACCCCTACACTACTGCAGTTCTGGCTCTGAGGCAAATCTCTCACTGGTCTCGCAGGTTCGCTAGGCTGTCCCTGTAAGATACAGGTCCTGGAGAATAGAGACTCAGTCAATTCCATGAAGCAACTGTTTGCACAGCCCAACTGAAATCACTCTGCACTGAGCTTCCTCTGTTGGTTCTGGCCTTTAAGTCAATAGCAGGGACAATATTGGAGTTACTAATTAAGAACACATAGATCAAGGAAGGGGCCTGTTCTGCTTGATCTGGAACAGATCCGAGCATTAAAAAAAAACAAAATAGTAAGGGGACACAGACCATGTCACACGAGTAACCACTGAAGAAACTGGAGATCACTAGCTTAGAGAGAAGAAAACTGACAAAGAGGACAGCACAGACATCTGCAACACAACAGAGACGGATGTCTTCATGATGTCATTACTGTCTTATGGAAAAGAAGTTAGCTTTGTCTTAGCACCAGGAGGGACGAACCCAATGGATAGGATCCAGAGCAGGGTTTCAGCCCAGCGTAAAGCAAAACCTGAACTTAAGAGCCCAAGCAAAACTACCATATATTGCCACACCACCTGGACACTCAAGTGCCCTGGACTGGCAGTGCTGCACTCCATCTTCTGAGTGCCCAGTGAAGCAGGGGGTCAGTACCTCTGTGCTAGAGACACAGTGCAGCTAAAGGTGAAAAGGAGCTTACTGCTCAAGCTCCTGGCAAGCTGCGGAAGAAGGGCGTGTTAGGAGGGAGGGACGGAGCACCTGCTTCTGCAGTTCCACCAACGGTATGTGACAACGCAGTACATGCTGCGGAAAGGAACCCCACCAGGATGGTCTAAGGTTCTTGGCTAATATCAGGCAATTCCAAGTCTCCTAAAACATTCTAGAGCTCTCAAAGATGAAACAAAATAAACACAAAGTAAAATGGCAGGATGGATGCACTTGGCTGACTGAATCAGGTTTGATATGCTTCTTCCTGGATTATTTTAGGGCACTGTTGTTCTTAAGAAGAAAAATAACATAGAACACCTGGACTTACAGTAGATAAGGCCTAAAGAAGTCAGACCTGCAGGCCTACAAGTAATTCAAGACCTGGCTTGTTACACTGTGTAGATTAGCTTTTCCAAAAACAGCAAAATCTCAAGAAGCTCTCAGGCCTAGCGTATGATGGGTAGACAAACAAAACAGGGACAGCAAAACACTTTTTATCCTTCCAAGTAAAAAAAAAAAGGGGGCGGGAGAGATGGTTCAGCATTTAACAGCACTGGCTGTTCTTACAGAAGACCCTGATTCGAATCCTAGTACCCACATGGCAGCTAACAGTTCCAAGGGATCCAACGCCCTCTTCTGACCTCCGCAGGCACTGCACAACATGGGTGCACTTACATGCAGGCAATACACTCACACATAAAACAATAAATATTTAAAAAAGAAAAGGTAGCAAAAAGTTCAAGTTAGCAATGCTAACCTGGTTTGATAATGGAAAAAAACTTTCCCTCAGTAACGTGTACACTTTAGGAAACATTACATTAAGTATGCAGTTTATTACTAGAGGATGGGCTCTACACTTAACAGCTAACTACAGGCAAGCCCAGGCCTGAGAAAGGGATAGCCAGCCTCCTTTGGTTCATATATGCAGGTCGACCAATGCCCACCTCCGAGGTTGGTTCTGGTCAAGAGCTCAGAGAGACAAGGAAATCCAAGCACGTTTTCTAGAGGGCTACAAAGAATAAAAACCTGAGTTGCTGGAGAGATGTCTCAGCAGTTCAGTTAAGAGCCCTGGCTACTCTTGCAGAGGACCTGGGTTTGGCCACATCAGGTAGGTCACAGCAGTTTGTAACTCCAGTTCCAAGGTATCTGATGCCCTTTCCTGGCTTCCGCAGGCACTACTCATGTGTTGCACATACTTATACTCAGACACACACACACACACACACACACACACACACACACACAAAATAAATGAATTTTTAGTCGGGCGTGGTGATGCACACCTTTAATCCCAGCACTTGGA